GCATGTCAGAATGTCAATCAGAATGCAAGCATGTAAAAATGTCAATCGAATACAAGCATGTACAAATGTCAATCAGAATGCAAGCATGTCAGAATGTCAATCAGAATGCAAGCATGTAAAATGTCAATCAGAATTCAAAAATTTCAGAATGTCAATCAGAATGCAAGCACATCAGAATGTCAATCACAATGCAAGCATGTCAGAATGTCAATCACAATGCAAGAATGTCAAAATGTCAATCAGAATGCAAGCATGTCAGAATGTCAATCAGAATGCAAGAATGTCAAAATGTCAATCAGAATGCAAGAATGTCAACATGTCAATCAGAATGCAAGAATGTCAAAATGTCAATTAGAATGCAAGAATGTCAGAATGTCAATCAGAATGCAAGAATGTCAGTATATCAATCAGAATGCAAACATGTCAAAATGTCAATCAGAATGCAAACATGTCAAAATGTCAATATGCAAGAATGTCAAAATGTCAATCAGAATGCAATATTGTCAGAATGTCAATCAGAATGCAAGAATGTCAAAATGTCAATCAGAATGCAAGACTGTCAGAATGTCAATCAGAATGCAAGAATACCAAAATGTCAATCAGAATGCAAGAATGCCAGAATGTCAATCAGAATGCAAGAATGCCAGAATGTCAATCAGAATGTAAGCATGTAAAAATGTCAATCAAAATGCAAGCATGTAAAATGTCAATCAGAATGCCAGAATGTCAATCAGAATGCAAGAATGTCAGAATGTCAATCAGAATGCAAGCATGTAAAAATGTAAAAATGTCAATCAGAATGCAAGCATGTAAAATGTCAATCAGAATGCAAGCATGTAAAGATGTAAATCAGAATGCAAGCATGTCAGAATGCCAATCAGAATGCAAAAATGTCAGAATGTCAATCAGAATGCAAGCATGTCAGAATGTCAATCAGAATGCAAGCATGTAAAATTGTCAATCAGAATGCAAGCATGTAAAAATGTCAATCAGAATGCAAGCATGTAAAAATGTAAATGGGAATGCAAGCATGTCAGAATGTCAATCAGAATGCAAGCATGTTAAAATGTCAATCAGAATGCCTGCATGTCAGAATGTCAATCAGAATTCAAAATTGTCAGAATGTCAATACAGAGATAGTAATCTGTGTATATACACAGATAATACTCCCACAAAATTGATTAAGTTTTCAAACAATGAAAATAATAATGAATTGCAGATTCCAGCTATTTTAGCCCTCTTTAAAACTTGAACGGAGCCATTTATCTACAGTGGGAAATAAACAAACTTAATGATTAAATCAAATAATAATACTAATAAGATGAGCTGTATGCAGTTTCTCTTTATGCAGATTAGCTATATGCAGATGAGCTGTATGCAGATGAGCTGTATGCAGATGAGCTACATGCAGATGAGCTGTATGCAGATGAGCTACATGCAGATGAGCTGTATGCAGATGAGCTATATGCAGATGAGCTGTATGCAGATGAGATCACTCACTTGAACAAGATGATGTTCCGGCATTCCTTCTTTAATCCGTCCTTTCGCAATTGTTTTCTTACTTGGAGCTGCACATTGATATTCTTCAAGATTATCTTTGATGATAATTGGTGCAACTTCATTCATAATTACATTTTTCCCTTTATCCTGTTGTTTGAAGTGGTTTTTCTGATTATGTTCCTGTGTTTTTGGTGAGATTTTTCTTGAAACAACTGGTTCAGGAGATCCTGCGGGTGTTGATGTGCTTGCTCCTGTCCCCATGGTGATTCTGTGAGATGTTTAAAATTCAACATGGTTAAAATTGAATTCATGCTGGCTGATTATATGCTATATGCTAGTCTAAAATGTGACTGCATGGACAATTAGCAACCACACATACACAAACGTAGCAGAAAGATATTTTATAAATTGTTGGACTACGTAGTTAACTGTTTTTTTATATTCAACACTATTGTACGCCTGTCAATAAGGACCACTTAATAACATTGTTAATGACATAGTCCCTGTTGGAATTAGGGGAGAAAATGTCTGCCAGTAGGCCATCTTTGATCTGATTGTGAAACAAATCGTCATAGACATGTATCCTAACATGTATAATGTATGTACCAAATATGAACAAATACTGACAAAGCATGCATAAGATACCACACTTTGTTCAAACAGGGACTAATAATATACAAAGCCAGTTTTCTTTGTACCTGTATGTGATTAGCATATCTGATTGAGGTGGATCAAAGCATATGCCAAATTACACTCATGCAGAGGGTCGGATTCACCAAAAAGTAGTATGCTCACTTAGGCCTGTGCCATACGCCTGTTTGGTAGTCAGATTTGCCATGAATGGCATGACATGAAAAATCACAAGTCATGACATAAGTCAAAATGACACAGTCCCCGTTAAGTTCTCTTTGTGCTTGTCATATTAAAGTGGAGGGGTTGTCGCGAGAGTGTCCTTGAAACTTGAGTTCCAAGTGGCGTATACAACAGATTGTTTATTTACATCAAAACACGTGTTCCATTTAGTAGTAATATGGCCAAAATAAAAACAGCCGTTATTCAGCCATCTTTGATATGTATGATGTATGTCCCAAATACGAATGAAAATGGTACATAAATTGTGGAAATATAGTAATAAGGCCAAAAAGGTCAGATGGCTGTCAATCGGCCATCCTTGACCAGAATTTGAAACAAATTGTCATGGACATGCATCTTAACATGTATAAAGTACATGTATGTGCCAAATTTGAATGAAAACTGACAGAGCACGTCCAAGATACCGCATAAAAAAACAAAAACAAGATGCCTGCCAGTCGACCATCTTTGATCCAATTGTGAAATAAATCATCATGGACATGTATCCTAACATGTATAATCTATGTACTAAGTTTGAATGACAACTGACAAAGCATGTCCAAAATACAACATTTTAAAAAAACAAGATGGCTGCCAGTCAGCCATTTTGAATCGAATCGCTAAACCACTGCATGTGCATATGTCCCACATAAGGTACTAGACACATGCAAAGAATGAACGGAATCGGTCCAAGGGATTCTGAGATATGACTCTGGACGGACGCACGGATGCACAGACGGACGCACGGACGGAGACCGAATTATAAGTCCCCGTTTTCATAAGGTGATCATTCAACATGAAAAATCAAAACATGGTTTTGTAATCATTATTACTAATGATATTGTTTGGGATAGAAATTAAGACACACAAATTGTGTGAGTCTGTTCATAACATAGCAGTGTGCAATTCGTGTGTCTCCCAATATAATGCAATTATAATCTTTAAATAGAAATAGCTATGAACAAATACATATTAATGTTATGAGCTCCTAAGAAAGGATGTGGTGGCCTTAAAAAAAGCTGTTTTGTTGATGTCAAGATCAGTTGACCCACACACAATCCATAAATTCATTAACATACACAGATATGCCATGCACATTGTAATTGAGATTCCCTCATGCAATAACCTGGTAATAATATGTATTTTAAATATTGGATCTAATATGAAATATTGTCATTGGAGCAGTAGTAAAATATATCATACTGATTTTAAATATGCATCGTAATTATGTTATTTATTTCAATATTTTCAGGTCGTCAGAAATATGATGGATACTTTAGGCAACCTTGATGTCCACCCTCAGTGAAATAATATATTACAATTAAATATCAATGAATAATCCTTGATTTAGCAGTGCATAAATTAATTGACTTGTGCATTAGGTATGAATGAATATAACCTTTTAACATTTTTATATTTCTTTGTTACTTATTGTTTTATTTGTTATTTGTTGTTGTTGTATGTTTATTGCCCATAGATAATGTAATTCAATGCAATGCAATGCAATTCAATGTGACAAAAAAGATATATATGTTAATTATCTAAGAAGATAACACTAAGAACCCCCACTTTCATTTTTAATTAAAATATTACAATAAATCAGGTATCCATGTAAACAGATAGCGGAATTTATTTTCAAAGCTGATAAAAATTGATGAGTTTATAAGTCTACATGTATTTTTAGATATTCTGTTGTAAACCCTTTCAGTGCCTTGACTTTTCAGCCAGAATTTTTTTGAAACATTTTGCTTTTTTTTTTACAATTTTTGTTAATGATTTTTCTTTTCACCAGAGGGACATAATTTTCTATTGACTACAGGCTCTAACAAAATTTAAAAAAAATATGAATCTTTGGTCATTGAGAATTTAGATTATATAACGTATGGATAGAAACTAATATTAATAAAAAACATACATGTATCAGCAGTATAAATGTCTTTATTCCATCCACTTATCTCTATGTTTTATTTCAGCCAAATTTGCTCAGAATATCTTGGAAACTGCACTAGCTAGTTACACCAGCATTGAACTTGGTAGATATTTGATAAAGATTGATAAGATTCACAAATTTGAAGGTATGCTATGGTGCTAATATCAGGTGTACTACA